TAAACTGGATTGAAGAGGTGTCATGGATGATTTTGGGATGCTGATTATCTGTCCAAGAGCCTCGAATACGGTTTTCATTGTATTGGTAGCGTGAAGTGCTTCAACGAAAGATGGTGCTCTGATCAGACAATTGTTGAGATACAGAAATATCATGATTCCCGCATGGTGTAAATACACTGTCACTACTGCCAACGTTTTTGAGAACACCTTGGGGGCTGATGATAGACCAAAAGGCAGAACTTTGTACTGGAAGTGGTCTGAGCCAATTTGAAAATGAAGGAAGCATCTGTGAGCCAGGTAAACGGTCACATGAAAATATGCGTTCTCCAGGTCGAGGGACGTAAAACAGTTTCTGCTGTGCAATGCTGGAATAATAGTCACGAGTGTCACCATCTTGAAGCACTGTTTGCAAAGGTACCAATTTAGGTGTCAAAGGTCTAGGACTGGCCTCCAACCTCCTGATTTTTTCTGGGTCAAGAAGTAATGGGAGTAAAAACCTTTGCCTCTGAACTCGTCTAGTACCTTTTTCACTGCTCCGATTATTAGCAGATGTGTCACCTCTTGTCTTAGGAGAGACTTGTGAGATGGGTCCCTGAAGAGGGACGGGGAGGGAGGGGTGAGAGGAGGAAGTGATGTATAGGAGATGGTGTATCCCAACTCGATTAGCTGTAGGACCCATCAATCGGTGGTAATATGGGCCCATCGTCGGTGGAATGGTCTTAAGTGATGGTGAAAAAGTGTGTTTGTGGCATGATGGCAGGTGATCAGCGGAGTGGTTTGTAGTCACTCAACTGAGGCGTCAAACCTGCTGTCTGGTGTTCTGTTGCTTAGGCACTCTCATTTGTGGTCATCTCTTTTGCTGTCTTTGTCTGGTGCGTTGGTGTTCTTGCTGTCTGTACTGAGGCACTGGGTGTGAGAATGGTCTTTCTCTGGTAGGGTATATAACGCTTCTGGCGATATGGTGGCGTATACATGCCGAGAGTTCGAAGTGTGGTCCTGGAGACCTTGCCAGAATGGAGGACTTGGTCAGTCTTTTCCGCAAAAAGACCCCGCCTGTCAAAGGGGAGGTCCTCAACTTTTGACACGAGGTCTTTTGGAACTGCTGCTTGTTGGAGCCATGATGTTCTGTGCATGACCACCAATGTGGCAGTGGTTCGTGCTTTAGTATCTATAGTATCAAGGGCTTTATGGAGGGCTGTTCGAGAAGCCATGTACCCTTCCTGCACTACTGCCTTGAGTACCTTGTGCTTATTGTCTGGCAGATGTTCTAGAAGTGGGACCAATTTCGAATAATTCTCAAAATTGTGATTGTCCAGAAGCCAATGGCCATTCTTAACGTTAATATGGCGGATGAATAGACCTTCCATCCGAAGAGATCTAGGTGTTTGCCTTCCCTGTCAGTGTTGTCCGCCTTGTCCTGAGGAGTTTTAGCCCTCTGTTGCACTGCATCCACAACCAGAGAATTCAGTTGTGGATGTGTAAAAAGGAACTCCATGCCTTTAACAGGAACAAAGTATTTCTTGTCTGCTTTCTTATTTGTAGAGTGGGTTGAGGCCGGTGTCTGCCATATATTGTCTGCTATTTCTAAGATTGCATTGTCGAGCGGGAGGGCGACTTTCAATCTTTGGGATGGTTGCAGATTCCTTAACAAATGATGTTGCTTTTGTTGGACCTTGGTGAGTTGCACCCGTTGGCTCTCAGCAACTCTCTTGAACAGATCTTGGAACTGTCGGATATCATCAGTGGGAGACACGTCACCGGGAAAAACGGCATCGTCCGGTGACGAAGATGAAATATCTGTAGAGGAGTACCCTTGTGGCTCCTCATGTTCCCACAGTCGACCCTTTTCTAGTTCCAGTTGTGGAGGGGGAGAGGCAATTCCAGATGGAGTGGGAGGTCTTGTTCCTAGCTGAACTGGAGAATTTGCCCCGTTGCCTGAAATGCGAAGTTGATGAGAGGAGGGCAATCTTATAGTGTCGCATTGTGGAGAGTACAAGCGAGGTCTGTGGTAATAGTAGTGGCACCTGTGTCTGTCATAATGATGTGCGTGAGGTGGAGAACATCTGGGGGAGTAGCTACCCCATGAGAGTCGTGGCTCCTATAGTAGGTAGAAATTGTAGGAGATCTGGGTGATCGCAACCTGTCTCTGGAGTGCCTCAAGGAAGGTGGCAAATCTCGGTGGCAACAATAATGAGGTAAAGCATACAATGGTGAATAGTAGCTCCTCCTCATGGTGTGGTGTCTGACTGAGCTCTTGGACAGACAAGATCGAGCTGGAGATGGAGACGGTGACTCTGGAGAGAATTCAATATGTTCCGAACTGAGTGAAGGTGTTTGTAGCTTGCGCGATTTTTGGCACGCTTTCACTGGTGCCGGCGACTGTTCTGGCAATGTTGTCGGCATCAGAGGTCATGTTGGTTGTGGTTGCATGGCTGTATGCGATATAGACATCGGCAATGAGTGGTGCCTTGGTGCCGACAGTGTTGTGTCCAGCGCCGACACTTGGTGGCACACTGGTGCCGGTTGTATTGCCGGTGCCAGGTGTATCTCTGGTGCCGAACATGCTGCTGGTGCCGGAGTCACGGGCGCTGGGGGAGATGCTCTCGGTGCCAATGTGATCATCAGTGCCAGTGCCAATATCGAGTCACGGCAGCGATATAGGAGTCGGTGCTGGGTGAGTCATGGCAGCAGTTTTCGGTGCCGATTCCTTGGATGGTGTTGGGTTCGGTGCCGAGGTACTTTAGGTGTGCTTTTGTCTGTCTGGTCAGCGCATGGTAGACATGCCTGATATGCCCAGTTTATCTCATGTGCTGATGCGAGTTGAGGGCAATGAATGCAAGGGAGAAGGCCTCCTCTTCGTATGGGCAATCTTAGACGTGGTCCCAGTCACCTCCAATGGTCGGGAGGAATCAGTATCGGAGGGCTGTAATGCTTTATTGAATAGTAGCATTTTTAGCCTCATCTCCCGGTCTCTTCTGGCTCATGCAGTAAGTTTTGAACAGGGAGGACATTTTTGTGGGATATGTCCCTCACCAAGGCACTGTATACATAGTGAGTGCCCGTCAGAAGCGGGCATAGGCTTGCGGTATGTACCGCACTTTTTAAACCCAGGGGAGCCAGGCATAGCTCGGCCAGAGGGTCTTCTGCTCTCTGCTGAAGCAGAGAGCTAAGTAAAGTACGAATATTACTATTATTAAAAAAAAATTTTTAAACGATGCTAAACTAGACGAACTAACTACGACTGTAACAACTAATAACTATCGAACTAAGAACTAATGATTTTTTTTCTCTCTCTCAGTTCCTGACAGGAATCGAGGAGAGTGCATTCACTCCATCCGTGGCCAAGGACGGTCAGGAGGAACTGGCGGGAGCCAGACCGTGCACATAAAAATGGCACAAAAGGCACGAGACGCACATTGTGCATGTGCGGTCCGGCAAACTATGGCTGAAAAGATCTCCAATCTGCAGTGCCGGGACAAGCCCAACAACTACAGTGGAGAACCCATGGGACACCGCTCAAAGAAGAAATATATTTTTGTTAGTCTCTAAGGTGCCACAGAACTACTCATTTTTTTAATAGTTTTCATAGGAAAGATAACTACAGCTCCTTCAGGAATTAAGAACAATGGGCATGAGGGAAAGTTGGTGATTATGTAAATTCATTCAAAATGTGACACTTCCAGAGAAGTACCACCTCTTTGGGTGATGCTTGCCTATACTAGTTCAAACTGGATTCTCCAGAGACCTAAAGGCAAAGAAAGCACTTTTGGATGACCCACAGAATTTTTCTGATCCAGCAAATGGACAGCACTTTTATCCCCAGTGGGGGGCGGGGGTTTGGAGAATAAATGATACTTGTCCATTGGGATGGAGTTGGAGGGGAGTAACCTCTGGTAAACTTTTAGGCATGCAAGTTCTTGTACTATTTTAATCTCTATGTTTAATGCTTTCACCTTCAGAATAAATGTGATTGCTTAGAAAGGGCTGTTTGGTAACTTTGACCTAGCTTGCTGGGGAACTCACAGTGTAGGCAGGGAACTGTGCAGCCTGAGAAAATCCCAGTCAGGAGAAAGAGAGATGTAGGACTCTTCCCGAGGGAAATGATGGTTGAAAAGCCAAGAGCTTACAATGGGTGCCATTTCTAGACCAGGAATGGGAAATATGTGTGCAGTCACCTTGAACTGTGGCTATTCTGATTTAAAATCTAAAAAAGAAATAAAATTAACATGGCACACATCAAATGTATTAAAACTGGTTAATTATTATGTCTCAAAAAGTAATTGTAAATGGGGAATCATAAAATGGAACACAAATATTAGGGAAAAGAGTAGATAATAAAGAGTACAGGTCACTGATACAGAATGATCTGGGCTATTTGGTACTTACAGAATGGGAGACTCTATCCTGAGAAGCAGTGACTCTGAAGATGATTTCGTGGTGGTCAAGGATGATTAGCTAAACATGATTTCCTAGTGAGACACTGTCCAAAACAGCTAATACAATCCTGGGATGTATAAACAGGTCTTTTTTTCCTGCCAAATATCAACTTGCTACTCCAAAATGTTTCCTTGTTTTAACTTTTAAGAGAAAGCTTGCAGAAAAATATTTCTTTGTTGGGAAGATGTGTTTCCAAATTTCCTTTCTTATAAACTAGCTCAACAATTTCTTTCTTAGCATTAAAAAAACAAAACAAAACAAAACAAAAACTAGGCAACCAAAATAAGAGAAAACCAGGGGCTTCAACAATCATCAAAAGTTAAAGCTCTGGAAAGCCACAAGAACTAAAAATAAAATATCAAGGTGGAATGGCTTTGGGAACCTTATCTGTATTAGTTGCAATACTTGCACTCCTGTCATACTCTGGGTTTTCAGATCTGTATAAATTATTTAAAAAATTGAAAAAGGAAGAGAAGTTCTGATGATCGTCCAGACTAGAAAATGGTCATATTCTCATCACACATTAAAGAATAACTGAAAGGAGCTATCTGAACAACACATACTTTGTCTGCAGAATCAGTGTCACCTTGTGTCCTGGAGGGCCTACAATATAAATCACAAGCAATTTAGAAATAGTTTGTGAATAGCTGAAATTGTAATTAGGCATGGTTTGAGAAGCTGTTTCTAAAATCTACCAAATTAGCTATGTTACATGACAGAATATTAATAAATTATGTACTGTTTCTGCATTTCAGATTAAACCACTCTAGAGGAATGGGTTGTTCTTTCAACTTCAGGAACTGGCATCAATGTAAATGTTGGCTCCTGTCAACCTCAGTCTCTCTGGAATTCCTCATTACAGGTTTTCCATAGTACTTCCTATAACATTTTATCCCTGAAAAGGGACTGATGCCAAATTGAGGTAGGACAGAGAGAATGCTAGATGAGGTAAGACACTATTACAATCACATACAAGTTTCTTATTAAATCTTCAGGTATCACGCTACCATCATAGATCCCTATTAAACTAAAATAAATACATTATGATGAACACCAAAGCTAGCCTATGGAATGTATCAGGTGAATTTTAGAAATAAATTGAACAATATATTTTTTTCTTTATTGAAAGAAACTGAACATTAGAAGAGGTAAGGAGATCCCATCGTATTCTGAGCCTGTCCCTTTTTCATTTGATTTCTGTTAGCTGTGTAATCATCACTCTATACTAATCTTTTCTAAATTGAATTTAAAAATCTCTTCTTAAGAATAGCATTTAAATGGACCCATTTGGGCACTGTAGTTTTAATATCCATGAGCAAAATGGGGGAGGAGGGCCAGCTCACACTTCTACTGCTACTGACAACAGTTACATTTTCATCTAAAAAATTTTCTAGTAGAAAAAATGAGGTTTTTCTATCACTGAACTTTTGTCAGGAAAATTTCATTTTTTATGGAAAAATATTCCTACAGGAAATTTTAAATTTGTCTTGATGTAAAATATCATTTCAATTTTGAAAATAAAAAATATTAATTCTCCATTTTCTGATGTTTGTGGGTTCTCTTCCATTTTCTCTCCCATTTTTATACTTCCGTTCTTTTTTCACTGGAGAAAAAGTTGGAAAACACCAAGGCTACATCTACACTGTAGCCTTCTTGCAGAAAAGCTTATGCGAATGAAGCTTGGCGTGGAATATTGCCGTGCTTCATTTGCATAATTAATGAGCAGCCGTTTTTGTGCAAGAGGCTGTTGCACAAAAAAGAGCAATGTAGACAGTTCCTTTTTGTGCAAAACCCCCCTCTTGTTCAAGAGCCGTTCTTCAAAAAAATGACTGGTGTGTAAGACTTGAGGTCTGTTCCATAAGTCTGGCTAAAGATACAAAACCAGGGAAAGGGCCTGAGCTCAGTCCTATCCCACGTAGGGCACTTGGGATTCAGTGAGTGGATTAGAACCAGGCAAAAAGCAGGAGCATGTATGTGGGTCCCTTCCTGTTAAAACATTAATGATTTTCAGAAAATTTGACCCCCAAAATGGACAAAATGTCAAAACCCAAAAAAATTACAGAAAGGACTCTGTAGAAAAAAAATCCACTTTGGGAGAAACAAAATGTAACTGTAAACAGGGGCTGAACTACTGCTTGCAATCAGCCAGCTAAAAGGAGAGATCAGCCCTGGGGGGTGGGTATGCTCACTCCAATTGTTAAGCCCTGCAAGATAATTAACTAGTGATATGTAAATACAGCTCATGTGGGGATGGGAAAGGAATCTGGGGTGTAGTTATGTAAATCCAATTCAGCCAGGGCTGACGGAGGATCCGTTGTTAGAATGGAATGTGCTATATTGTAACTAATTTGGCTGTTGTGGGGTCACAAACCATGCTACCCCTTAAATGTAGGAAATGGAAAATATGACACCAGTGCTTGCAGGAGAGACACCATCATTGTAAGGGGTCTCAGATAAACAAGCCTCCTCCTTCCAGAGATGAGTGAACTAGTTGGGGGGAAAGGGCTTGAGCCAGCCTGCTTCATGCCTACCAGGTGCAAGCGGTAAGACTGGTTCAACCTGCCTCTTTCTCCACACTCCCC